GTAGAAGACAGGTTTGGCATCCTCAAGTTGCATGTTCTGCTAATGGGGTACAACAGCACCCTGCTAAGTTTTTAAAGGCAAATTGCTAGAGTCCAGGGATTTGGCAAAAACAATGCAGGACAAAAGCCAAGTAATTGGTATTTTTTTGTACTTAGTGTTTGCTCTGCATGGACATCATCATCCGGACTTGTGCATTTCCTTACTTTTAACTGGTTGGGTTTTGCAAGTGATGGGAGAGTGAAAGTACCAAACCTTTGCTTGCCTTTGAATCTGAAAGCCTTAGTTCCCGACTTCCTTCACATCACGTTAGCAACTTTACCTGTTACAATGGAGCTACACTGGAATAAAGCAATGGGTCACTCAGTCCCAAAGTCACCAATGCCTGCATTGTTACCTCTGAGACTATGTGAATAATAGTGCTTTGTGCTTGTCTCATGCTTAACCCTTGATAACGGTAAACAGGCATTCTAGTTTCCACCTTATAGATAGCCTAAGGTTAAAGAGATTTACAACGAACTGAGAGAAACGCTTTGGATAATACAAAGATATGCCATTTCAGACATAAGGGAAGCTATTTTCTGGTCTCCCCTAAATTTCCTGTTACTTTTGGCAAGTCTTTTCAGTTACTCTATCAATACAATGGGCCTGTGCATATATTGCTTCTATAGCAAAGGGGTTTTCTTTACCTTTAAGACTACAGTTGTACCTATGACAGATTACAAACCTCTGTCTAGACCAGTGGTTTTTAACCTTTTTTCATTTGCGGACCCCTAAACATTTGAAGGGAGGTACGTACCCCTTTGGAAATTCTGAATGGAGGTGCAGACACCTGTAGGTATTGACATACTTTTGATTGATCATAGTCATCTTTCATGGAGTCCTTGGATGTAGTCTGTGGACCCCCAGGGGTCTGCGGATCACAGGTTGAAAACCACTAGTCTAGACTATAGACTCCCTAAAGTAAATCTTTATAATAGAAGCTACTAAGAACTTGTTTTTTGGGAGAAGATGCAATCACCTGTACTTTGCATTACTACAGCTGTCCAGCACTTCCATTCTAATATGTAAATCACTCCCTAGGGGAAGAGTGATGTATTAAATGCAAATTTGAGGGTCATGGCCTGTAACAACTACTTTCTGCAGATCACTGCAGCTTAGTTCTATCTTTCTAGGTTTTTATGACTGACTAGCCAATTGCCCATCAAGAATGATGGGGGGGCGGGAGGATGGAGACCCGTGTCCGCCCCCCTCCTTCCCTACTGCTGCTTGGGGTCCAGGCCCACTCCCCCCTTCCCGCAGCAGGGGGATGGTAGAAGTGGGCTCAGGGCTGATGTGGGGAAGGGGGGTGAGGAAGGAGTGGGCCCAGACCTGGGCCCAAGGCAGGGAGGAGGCCTGCTCCTCCCCTCCCCCTGCCTCCAGGGGGTAGGGTGAGGGGGATAAAATCAGCACCGCTGGCCTTGCCCCCACCCATGCATTCTGTCCCCAGTCCCTCCCTGCTGGTCCTGCCCTTGGTGCAGGGCAGGCAGGGATGGAGCGTGTCCAGCCCACTCCCACTTCTGGTCCAGCACCGTTCCCTCCCCTCCCCTCCCTTTCTCCCCCCACTCCCACTGCGCCGTGTCCAGGCCCATTTTCCCCCACCTCGGCTCCCTACCACCTCAGGTGGGTGCAGGGAGGGGGAGGCCAGCGCTGCTAGTCTCGCGCCCCCCCACCCCGGTGTCATTCCCTCCATTGCCGCCACCTCAGGGCTGCTTCAGGGCCGGGCTGTCATCATGCGGGGACTGAGCCCTGTGTCTAGCCCCAACCCCACTTCTCCTCTGGTCAGGGGGAATGGGCCCTCTCCCCCCACCCTCCCTACCCACTGCTTCGGGGCTGGCCCCCTCTTTCCACTCTCCTCCGTCACCTGTGTCCCCGCTGTTATGGTAGTGCTCCACCATGCTGTCTCGTCCCAACACTCTTGGAGCACTCTTATTGGCTGTTTCAGTCAGCAAATCAGAGTGCGAATAAAGCATTATGGACAGACAGATAGACTAAGGCTTTTATAATATCAGAATCTTTCTAGGCTTTTATAACTGATGGGCTGAGCTGCACCATTCACTCTTAAATCTAAGCATGATGAGAACTGGATTGTTCCCTGACACTCACAAGAGACATGAAGCATCTCTGGAGAGTAGAAGGTGCTTGTTGTTCTTAGGATTTTGTTGGTCCCGACATTCTAGCATCATGGACCAGGTTGTAGGGAACAGGAAGCATCTGTGTGTGACATCTTGCAAATGCCACTGTAAAACAGTACCTCCACATATCACAATTCAAGGCCATGTAGTAGAGCTAAATGCCCAGTGCTTCTTTCCCACCCTCCCCAGACTAAATAAAATCTATACAAAACTATCCCATTTTTCTACTCCTTAAGTAAGAAATTAGGACAAATGAATTCAATACTCCCTAAGAGTGCACATGCAGAAATGGTACTATATAACTTGTATACTATTGTACTTGCACTACTAATATACTATATAACTATATATAATGGTACTTCTTGAAAAGCATTGGTGAAAATCATACAAGTCTTGTCCTTGCAGTATTACAGCCTGTTAGCCAAGAATAGGATAATTTTACAATAATCATCCAACTGAATCTATACTCCTTAATCACTGGCAAGTAGAAATTTGGAGACAGACCTGAAAAAAACCCAAAAAACAGGAAAAGTAGGTGATATGCAGCCTCAGCAACCAACCAGTCTAGCCTGCTCATGCCAATGCCCTTAAAAATTCTAGGATTTTACTGTCTTGATTTATATTTTACTGTTCTGCTCAGAAAGTACCTATTTGAGAGTTTTATTTATGGACTTAATTAAACTAAACTGATACATCTAGTCATTACATTTTGTAAGGAAACTATGTAATTGGGCTGTTGTGTTTTTATCTTTAGAAATAAATTAAGAATTACTGCTTACTTGGAATAATTTAAAGTGTCTCACTGTTTGCCTTTTGTAAGTATCCATTAACAAATGCTGACTTCCACTTGACTTCCTATTGAATTAAATAGGCCATTTATATACACAAGACAAAGCAACTAATCAGTTAGGGGCTTGAAAATGAATTTGTAGAAGGCAAGCACATAAATTAGTGTTAAAATCCATTTGTCTTTTGCCAAGATTCCTTTACAAATTAGTCTCAAGTATTATATTTATTAGGGCATGTGGATGTGTTTCAGAGAACTCACTGCTCTCCAAGAATAAGCTTATAAAATACATTAAAACAGACAAAGCTATTTAACAATTTATGCAAAGCAGAAACTTAGAAGGTTGACTAGGGGCTAGATCCACAAAGTGAATTTTACCATAAGGCTGAACATTATAGATTTCACTTTTCTGAAACTGGCCAGTCTGAGTTAGATACCCAGGCTCCCTATACCGTGCACAAAAGAACTGGATGCCTCAGGATGAGATCTATAAAACAAACATTGAATGGGAAACGAGTTATGCTAGCTTATAGGAATGCCAAGACATGCTGTAGTTAAAGTCTGTGCCTCTCCAGGGCATAAATGTATAATTCTCTTTCCTCAGGATGCATCCCTGAGTCATCTTCTGCAGTTAGAAAGCTACTAGTACACCAGCAGCCCCCCCCCCCCCCCCCCCAAAAAAAAAAAACCAAACAAAAACAAAACAGCTGGTTGCTATATCCCCATCCTCCTTTTACAAATATAAAGCACCCATGGATATGGGCGATCCACTCTTGCTTCTGCATGAGGGAATTTAACCCCGCACAGCCAATCTACTCCATATTCTGCTCTTGAAGCTGTCACACTTGATTAAATATTTAATGAGGCAGAAACTATGCATGACCCTCTGGTGTAGTAACTGAGGCATTCACCTGGGGTAGGAGTGAGTATTACATATACATTCCTTTTAGGAAGAAGAGAAAGTTGGGTCTAGGTCCCCCATATCTTAGATGAGTGCTCCCAATACTGAATTGCTAGAGAAAGGAGGCATGAAATCACCACTACTACCTTCTTCCATAACATTTATACAGTGTTGAACCTTTAGGTGCAATCTAAGAACAGCTACTGAATTTGGCCCTGCAAACATAAGCTCAGGAATGACTAATTTATGAATCCTGACACTAGACAGGTACTTATCTCCTCAGCAGTGTCAAAACTGATGCAATTCTGCCCATGTCCAAAAATAGAACTTGAGGAGCACATGAAACTTTACTCACAAAGAAATAGGCACTGATAGGTGTTAGGCAACCCAGAGTTAAGCAGAAACTGAGTTAAGATTTTGAGGATCTAAATTTTGGACTAGCCACCTTGGAAATTAGGTGGCTATCCTTTTCTGGGGCTAGCCCTAAGAGTCCAATAGAACTTGCATCAAAGTTGGTGAATTTTCTCCAACTTCAGGGAAAAGGTACTGATCTTAAAGATACCTTCTAGATTCAAAATCTTGGATTTTATGGAGGGCATTTTCACATGAAAAGTAAGCTGCTGCTGATAGTAGGAAACAAATTTCAAAGAATCCACTTCTTTTTTTTTGGGGGGGGGGGGGGGGGGAGAGGAATAAGTTACTTTTTCTTCAATTAAAGTACTGGGAGGTGGCGGCGCTCCATCTCCACCTGCATGCATGTACCCCGTATCCCCTTTCCGCATATCCCTGGCTGACAACCCCTGTTCTAAAGTTTATGTCTGGTGCCTAGATACCAAAGTGACACCCTGTAACTGAGACACAGAACAGTATGGATAAAAACATATTACTTCAGAACTAAGAAATTACTCTTGGGTATCTAGCAACAACTCGGTTCAGTTGGTTATGGAACCCAGATTCTAATGTTATTGGGGAAAAAAATGAATCTGAATATTATATTAAAGCCCCTCAGTAAACTCTTCAGTTTTTCCAGTGAACACATCAGTTCTGAACTTCAGATCACATTATTTTGCAAGCAAACACAATAAAGCACCAAAAAGTCATCTAACTGCACAAATAAAAAAGGACACCTTTTATTTCTTAGGATATATATTTGGCTAGGATGTGGTATGCTGTTGCAGCAAAAACAAGCCCAGATGCTTCCATTCCAGTGTTCTTAGCAACTTTGAAACTAGAAGTTACTGTTCTCCTCAGAGAAATGAAGTTTTTCAAGGTAAGTATGGATGTTGACATACCAAAATGCTTTCACAGGTCTAGATCTACTACTGCTTTTTACACTTAGCATTCTTTTTGCACCCATATGCCAGATTCTAGATAAAGCACCAAAAATATTTCAATAAAAGCAGGGCCAGCATTTAAATTACATAAACCTTCCCAGTCTCAAAACTCAACTGCTATTTGCACCAATGTACTCCACACAAAAGGAAACTTATGTTTAATTGTTAATTCAAGCATGACTTAAAATTTATCAAAGCTTTCAGGTGAGAACAAAGACCATAACAGGTTAATCTGATTAAAAAGCCTGACAATAACTGTCCTTACTGCACACAGAGCATCAGAATTTGAATACTCAGTTCACAAGGCCCAAGGTGTACAGCACCCTGTGAAGAGAGGCCCTTGCTTGTTTTTAAGACATCTTGCAACAATTCAGTGCTAATGAGTCGAGTCATCATTAATCAACAGTAACCGACTTGACGATTAGAACCCTTTTCTACTATTGATTCCTTTACTTCCTTGTCTGACACAAAGAGAGAGAGCCCTGTTATTACTCATCTTTTACTATCCTCAGTTGTCTCTGTTTGGTAGCGTTTTGAAGGAAACACTACTGCTTTGCTGTTTGCACACAGCTAGCTAAGGGAAGGATGTCAGTCTATCTGCTCAAAAGGAACAATAAAACAGGATCCAAGGGCTGCAAACACAACCTTGGATCTGTTTCCCTGGACATAGCAACTGACTCTTTCATCCAGCCCTGGTGGTAACTGTGCTTCTCTTATGCATCCAAGTTCGCTGGTAATTTCCCCATCATAGGAAAAAGTTGGGTGTTGTCCTAGGGCCAGGACTGTATTTCTCATAACAGTTTCCACAGAGAGCAAACTAAAACGTAAGAGCATATGTCTGTTGCACAAAACATATGCTTTACTCATCTGTGCTTACTATGTGCCATAGCTTCCTTTAAAGATAGTTTGATACCACATCTAAAACTCACAGTGAAGATGCAGCATAATACTTTCACTTTGTACTTTGGAAAAGTCATTCCATTTTAAGTATAAGAAATGGTCTTTATTGCTTTGCTAACCTCTCCCTTTCTGCTCTAAACAGATTATTACACAATGGAAACTGTCAGAACTGGACAACATTCTTGGACCACACTGGGATCTGCTTGCAGTGGCAGTCATAGTCATTTTGCTTCTTCTCTTAATTAGCAATAGGTACAACTAGGCAAACGTTACTGACAAAGCCTTTTGGCAATTACTCTTCTTTATATTCTGAACTAATAAAATGTGTATTACTTATTTTTTCTACATTCTGTTTCCAAGACTTTAGTAACATAAAAACACATAGTAAATATCTCTAGAGTGAGGGGGGAGAAAATCAATAGCATTTGAACAGTGGGATTTCTTAAACAGGCACTTATATCACAAACAAAAAACCTGCCATATAGCAAAAGCTTCTGCTGACAGACACAGGACACAGACGCACAACATTTGAAGCTCTTCAAAGTGCAGGTGCACTCTAAAGCAGTTTAAGAATGAAATGCTTGAGCAACAAATGGCCGTATAGCTCCCTACTGCATGTGCTGCGGGGAGCACTTCAAAATCATCAGAGCTCAATGCAGCTGTGTGCTCTCCAGACAGGAGGTGCAACAGAGGACTGAAGCATCCTGACTCCGTTCCCCCAGCTGAGGGCAGTCAGTGAGCACTTTACATCCCCTGCTCTGCAGAAGAGCTGACTGTCCATGAGTGCTCTCAAGTCCCCCATCCCCTGCCTTCCCCTCTCCTACCCCTTACCCCAGGATAAGGAGAGGTATGGGGGGTCTCTGGTCTCCTTGTTTTGGCAAGGTGATGCAGAGGCTCCAGTCTCCTGAGGGTGCGCTCAAGGAGGGCAGAGGCAGGGCTCGTTGAGTCTGTCCTGGTCTTCCCCTGGGGCAGGGTGGGTGGAGTGGAGCAAAGCATTGTGGGATGCTGGAGGACCAAGCCCTCCTGTCATACCCTGTAACGCATACACATATAACAGGAAACATTTTGCATTGAAATGCTTCTAAATAGTAGTTGCTTCTTACAAGGTTATCTTGGGACTGCTCCCACCATTTCCGGAGCATTCCAAAGGGCGTGTGTATGCTCTGCTCACTCCCTGAAGCAAACATTACATCTTTCTGCACCCACAGGCACATGCCCATTCACCAGCTAGCCCAATGCTTAGAACTGTAGAAATTTCAACAGGATTTTTAAAAATAAGCTATGTAAAACAATGTCACTATTAAAAGAATGAGTGAATAGTCCTTCCGGAAAAAAAAGCATGGATAAAATAAGCATTGCAAGTGTGGAATCAGAGAGCCAAAACCTTGTAATTACTGTGAATGAATTCATTTGTTTGGTTTCTGCAAAGCAAATTTGCCATTAGTTCATCTTTCAGTCACGGACAAGATTTACTGCAGTTCTTTTATAAATATTGCTCAACTTACCTACGGTGTCATTTGCAAAAGCATCTATCAGCCCAGATAAATCCTGATCCTCTATTTGCTGACTTCAGTGGCAAAACCTTCCCCAACATCAGTGGTGCAAGATCAGGTATAAGGCTCCAGCATGGGACACTGAAGTGAATCCTTTTTTCAGGCAGAAAAGACTTATGTATGCATAAACCATTCCTAACTGTTGTACATCCCTTGAAGATATGCTAACTTATGTCAGACTACCAGTTCCTTCCCTTGAGGCTTTGCACAAACACCACTTCCATCTCTCCTATTTAATACAAGTGATAGAAATAGTATTAGATAATACCATATTTCAGTTCCTCTCTGAAGAGTTTTTCTTCACGTATTGCCTCATTAAAAAAGGGCTGATTTTGGAGGCCACTCTGTGATTGGCTTCACTGAAACTACTCCAATAATTGTCATTATGGAAGGGACCACAATCTGAGGAGCATCTTAGAAAAACAAAGCTTAGATATATGGGTAAGAGGAAAGGCAATTTAACATTTTTCACTTTTTAAACTAGTGATACATATACCCACTCAGCAGAATGAGATATTCCCAACATTCCCAATCAGCACTTCCACATACTTCATATTTGCAAAGCAACATCCTGAGTACATTAGATAGGGTTTTTTTTTTAAATTTAGACCTGAAATTGCATTGAAGCATGCAGTAGTCAGTGTAATCTTTGATTCTGTGTACAAGTCCTATTTAACTGAGCAGAAAGAAGGCAAACCTTTTATAAGACAACAGTGAACTCTTTCTGCACAGAAAAATGAAACTGGAAAGAATTCAGAAAAAAAAAGAGTGACTTATTTATCTACTGAAGGATAATTAAAAAAAAAGACATATGTTGCAGCACAGCCAATTGTCATAAACAGGGAAAAAGCAATTTTGTATGCCAAACTCTCAAATACATCTCAGGTGGCCTCATTTCAGAAGTGCAAATCCCTGTCCTATGAAGAAAGATCAATCACCTTTTAAACCTATCAATCTGAGGCAACCAAAATCACTAGTTAAGTGAAAAATCTGTCAGGATGACCAGTTACAAGTAGCTGAAGCACCAGAAATTATGAAGGTTAAAACTAGGGATAATGGAATGAAAGTAAACAGAGAAGAGTCTAGTTTGGACATCAATGTTTTAAAAATCAGAATGTTAGGGAATACATTCCTATCTTAAACCATGGTGTTCTCTAATCTTATTTGCATGGATGTCAAGCACGAAACAAGTTAATTTTATATTTCTGTGCGTCCACTGACTTGTTTCTTCACAAAATACTCCAGGGGTCTTCAGTTTGTAAAGAACGTTGAATCAGACAGACAATGCCAAAAAAGTCTGTCTACAAAAACATTAAAATACAATTTGTAATTCACTGTATGAAAATGTGTTTCTTTATTTTGGCCAATTATACAGGGAAGTTTTATGTATTTTGAGTTCACATTTAAGTGGACTATGAGGGCCTTATGCAACTAGATTTAGCTTATGTATGCTCTGCATCTAAAAAAGCTCTGTTAAGTCAAAGATTTCCCCAAGGGCCTGGTCTATTATTTCTTCTACTGCACAAACTCCTGTTGACTTTTGGATGCATGTGGAATTCAAGGTCGGATACTTAATCAACAAAGTAATACTCAATCTTTCCCCTGACTAGGTGTGCAGCTGGAATTCAAGGCACTCAACAAGACACTTATTGATCCTGGTTGCCCAGCTCAAGTTTCTTTGTGCTGCAAATGACTGAACGTTAATTCAGTTTGTAGATATTGCCTTTTTAAGATGTTCTTATAACACCTGGCATTCAAATTTTTGGTGCATTTTTTTTTACAAAATCAGAAAGTCATCTCCCAGAAGGCGTTTTGCTTTATCTTGTGTACTAACTCGGTAATGTTTGGAAGCTTGTTCTTAAAAATATATAGTCTTCCCACAAAAGGCACCTTTGTCATCACTTTGTTACCTGAATTTTTTTCCTGAACTAGCAACTTAAAAGAACGCTGAAATCACTTAATCATATCAAGCCTGGAAAAAGCTACACTACATTTTGGCAGCTTGAGAAAGCTACAATAAAAAGATTTCAAACCTAAAACTGTGAGTTTATATTGAAAAGGTAATGGAGCTTTAACTACAGAAGTGTGCGCAAAGGACAGGAACTGTGTTCATGTTAATTATCTAACAGGCCACACAGCAGAACTATAAAAAATAAAAATTAAAATACAAAGTAAAAAAGACTCTCAAACCAAAGATGCAGAAGTATCAGGAAGGTAAAAGTTAAACTTTGAAGACAAACCAGGCTTTAGAACAGCAACAAAATTCAAAACACCCTGAGTATCAAAATATATTTGTGCAGTGTTTACACTTATCTGGTTCTTCATTATCATCAACGCTGTCTAAATTTAGGTTGAGATCCAGAAAAACATGCTATGTGCCTCCAACTTTGGCTTGGCTATAATTAAAATTTAGGCACCTAGCTCCAGGAAGTAAACCAAAGAAACAGTATTAGGCACCCACACCCTCTATACAGCCAGTGGGAAGTTAGGTGCCACGGAAGAGACAGAAACCCACAAGCTGAGCAGGAGCTGCAAAGAGCTAGCACTTCTTTCCATTTTTGTATCTTAGGTTCCTCTTTCTGTCCAAGAACTAGAGCTTGAGCAGGACAAGAACTAGTCTTCTGAGGCTAGATCCATAACCGAGTGTGGCAGAATACAGATGGCACAGAGCTACCCACCTAAAGGAAGTAAGGCACCTCTCCAGGAACTGGGAGATCTAGGTTCTAGGTCCTTTTCAGCCTCAAGATTCAAACCCTCATTTACCACTTCCCAGCCACCTACCCTCAGCCTCAAACACTGGAACAGTAGGGTCATGGTCCTGGTCCTGTGGAAGATGGGCCACTGGGTGGCCAGGAATGCAGAAGCTGCTGGGCCACCAGTGCAAGCGATTTATGCGCTTGCAGGAAGACATTGCCACAACACTATGTAACAGCTGGGCAGCAGCACCCTCCTCATCCAGGGAGGTTATTGAATAACTGTGACCACAGATGCTGTATGTTGTGAACTGCACATTAATTAGGTCAGTATTTAATTTTCATATTCATGAAGGGAAGGGGTAGGGAGGATAGGGACAACAAATTTCCTGCCTAATTGCTTTGTTCTTCCCACTAGCAGTGCTCTGCGCAGTACCTCATTTATTCTTCCCCTGTTGTGTGATTCCCAATGTTCCTCTTCTATACGCTCAGAAAGAAAACTGCTCTTCAGGTGCTTTCTACCCAATAATGTATGCTTTCCTCTCATTACTGCGAGCACATTCTTTATCTCCTTAGAAGTTAGGAGGAGAGGGCTTCCAGCATATTTCAGTTTGCTTCTACCCATGTGTTGATTAAATGCTTGAAGAACAAGGCACAGTAGGAACAAGTCTCTAATTAACATTTACACATAACCACATTCTTCTTCCTTCTCCTCACTCTCTTCACACATCTGAGTCACAGCCAGCAGCAGAAGTGCCTGGGAAAAAAACTCAAAAGTTTAGAGAAGGCACATAGTAGATGCAACAGCATGAAAATAAATTCATAAAAGCATCTTCAGGAAAGATGACAGTGGCTTTGAGCCTGGGGGGATTGTGTCATTCTGAATATAGAGACATCTAAGGAAAAAAAAGAGTGACCCACACTAGGGAGTGCTTAATCATGTAGTTAGCATATAGCCATTTTAAGCACTGAACTGTGCTCACACTGCTGATACAATACTGTTGACAGGAAAGGCTTTACTAATGGATTTTGCTAAAAAAAGATGGTACTTTGGTACTTCAAGGTATGGAGTATTTAAGGGGCTGCCTAAGATAAGTTGCTTAGTTACTAAAGAAGTATGTTCTCATTCATAATAGTAGTATTTTTGGTCTCAGCAGTCAATGTAATTTCAGAAGCAGAACTGACAATAAACGGCACTGATCCCCTTGAAGTTAGAATAATGTAATGATATATCCAACCTTCCTTTAGTTAATATAGACAGGTACTTCAGCATCTATATTCAGATCTGCAGGAGCCAAATTTGCTATGATGAGAGCTAGGTAAAATTCCCTGCTTCTAGGTAAGATTCCCAGGATGGCTGCAGGAACAGAAACCCCCTTCTTCCACCCCCTCCCCCAAGCCCTATTGGAAACAGAACCTGTCAAATAGAGTCCTTTTAGTGGAAAAGTTTATTTCTGGCTGCAGCTCTCTATTCAAGCCTGACATGCAATTATTTATTTTGCCAGGGAGGTCAGTTTCCACTGTTTTTACAATGTCAAGAGTCATTAATGGCTAGAGGCTGACTTGAAAATGACTACACAGAATTTAAAACCATTCTACTTAAATAATCTTTTATACATAGGACAGACGTCTGCTACCGTTTGGAGTGTGCAATACTATTCTGTTGAGTGCCCCCTACTGGCTTATCTTATTACAACAGGTTCCCTGATTTTCACTGAAGGCATTGCTGGCACGACAATATCAGACTATGACAATGCAATTTAAGGCAGAGAACGCCAATATGTAAGAGCTCGATGCCAGGCTAGTCCTAATGTGCGTATGTTCTATTTTGGATGACTGCTTATGTTCTTCACTTGCACTATCCTAGATCTGCAATGCAGTGTTGGGACCATTGTTGAAATATTTCACCCTTCCTTTCAGAGTCAGGAACGCAGAAGGTTATGACAGTTTGTTAATGTTTATTGCCATAACTGACCAAACATAAGAATACCTAACTTAGTATAGTGGCAAGGCTAAATCAAAAGGGTTTATGAAGCAGAAAAAGGTCAAGTTCATGCTATTCAGCTGTTTGGCAATAAGAAAAAAAAATCCAGTCTATGGCTATTTAGTAAACCAAAATGACATTTATACTTTCAGACAAGTGTCTACCACCTTTGCAAAACTTCAGAAATGACTAGTTGTTGTCCAGTGCAATGCAGGAATGACTCAGAATTATGGCCAAGAGCTGTGGGACCATACAGAGGAACAGAAAGAGTGATAAAGAAATATCAGCCTGCAAACACTTCCTGTTTAATGTAGAATTTATAACCTTGACAAATCCAAACCAAGGTAGCTGCCTTGTAGTCAACTGTCTCCCACCTGCCATTCTTTTTAAAGTGAACTGGTGGCGGAAAAGATGGGATGACGACTAATGGCCATAAAGACAGGGCACATGAAGCTACCAAGAAAAATCCTGTCAACTGAACTGAGGCATCCCCCTTTCCTGATGTCAGCAATACTACACACCACTAAAAGGCAACATTTCTGACCACAACAGACATTTAAAGAGAGACAAGATTAATCTTTCATTTTGAGCCTTCAATTTGAGATACACATTGGAATACGAGTATCATTAGTTCCCATGAAGGACTAATTTAGTGTGTTTGAGACCCATTTTCATTGTTATAGGGACATGATGTGGGTCACCTTTGGACTGGTATCCTTTTGCTGTCTTTAACGCGTGGTTTCCTCCATGCTTACTTCAACCAAAATCTTACACAAGTCTCCATGTTGAAGTCATCTGGGAAGATAGGCTCTCATATCTTGATGTTTTCCCTGTCCTGGAGCAGCATTTGGGTTCAGACTGCATCTTATCCTGACCTTTTTGTTAAGAATTTGTTTTTAGCACGTCGGAACACGAGTAGGGGTGCAGGGTAATAGCACTGCCATGCTTCTCAGATCCAACTCTGCTCAAATCATCACATGAAATATTACACTGGCAATTTCACTGGACTAGTACTTTTCTGCAGTGGTGCAGCCTGCTCCCATTTGTTCTTGAGACCAATGATGCAAGAAAACAAACAGGATCTTAAATAAATAGCGTTTAATTGTAGAGGATTTTAAGCAGGATCTCTCAGGCAGGCACTCTCTCTTCAGGAGCTACATTCTCTTCTTCACTTCCTTTCAGATACAGGCCATACATGAGACTTTCAACAATTGCTGGCAATGCTTCTACCTGCAGACTGAGATGCACAGGAAATTAGATCCAAACTAATTCTGAAGTAGAATCTTTTTGGTGACTTTCTCTCCCCTTATTTTTCCAATTGAAAGACTTGTTAACAACTACATACATCTCTTCATGTATCTTGAGCATGTACAAATGCTTACAAAATGTTATTCTCTTTGGGACAATCCTAAATGCTTACAAATGTAGAGAAAGTTTTATAATTAATGTCTACAAAAAAGCAGAGATTCTCCTTTCAGTTAATGTATTGATAAAATGTTTTGACAGAAACTTTAATAAACATGATGTTATCTGGATGAAGATGCAGCATAGGAATTAAAAATGTTGAGTGCCTTGAGTGTAGTTAATTTATGACCTCTTCAAAATGAAATAACAGTAGACACTGACAACTGTAGAGTCTATTTTACAATGCAATATTTTGTAAAAGGTCCAACACAAGTCACCTTTTGATGACTGGCTAATTTTTCCCCCCTGAAAAATTTATTTTTGCCAGATCTCCAAGTGACACTGTTGAAGAACCTCTCTGGGCTGGCCTTGCCTGAAAGAAAAGAAACTGGGGTAAAGACTTATGTTCAAAACAATTCAAAGAGTCACTCAGTTGTCTAAAACCAGAAGCTGCTATCAAATGACACATAAGAAATAAGAGGGGGAAGGGGGGGGGGGTATCACAGCATAAAAGTTCAGTTTCATGTTACCTGTGATACATGGAATTTCCAGCCTATCATGTAATAGACCTGAAATGTGGCAGGTATGGAGCCATCATTATTTCCATACATTTCTGTTAAAAAAGAGAAAGTATTACAAATTATGCAAGAATTGAATATGAAATGTTCAACTTGATGTTTGTTGCTGGAAAAAACTCTTTTACAGAATTACAAAATACAGGAAATCTTTTGTGTTTTAATTGTACAAGTGTAGAGAAAACAAAAGACAGTATTCCAAACCATGCAAAACGTCCATGTAATTCAAGTCTTGTAACTGTAAGCCCCTAAAAACAATTTGTTTTACTTGTGTTCAAGAAAGATAGTAAAACAATGCAGCCCTGAGAAAGATCAAAAAACATGGAAAGAGATGTTCATAGACCCATCCAGGCTAAGTTAACTACTGAACGTTTGTTTTTACCTTGATATATTGCTGCCGCTGCCAACATAGTTTCTCTGTGAAGCAGAGGTTTTCTATTCCAAGAGCAGTTACTCTCCCCCATACCTAAAAATAGGTTTCAGCTTTAAAAAAAAGAAGATATAGCATATACCATGAGTTTTAAATTTCAGTGCACAGAACTTTATATTAATCCAAAACAGATATAAAATTCCCCAGATCTCACGAGAGAAAGTTACAGCATACAGAGATTTGATTCAGGGAAACACCTACTTTCTACCCTGCAGGGTATGCCTTATACTGTTGGAAGTTATTTCACTTTAACATCTTGGTGGAAATTATATCCAGACAAGTAATGGTCTTAAGTCTTTACACACGTAAATTTGGTAGTTTGCTAAATTAATTTACTCTCCATGTGGAATACTGATCCCAAAGTCCTTCCTTCTATTAAATTTATGATAAAAATATCAGAAGCATGAAGTGACTACACTGAAGCAATACTGATATTCCTGAATAATTACCACATTAAAAACTAAGTTAATTAGAAATGGGTTTTTACCAACAGAAGATAAAAAATGTTTTAAATATAAGCTTGTGCAATGCTCAATCATTATAAAGGGTGCCCTTCTGCAGCTGTGAAGGGTTCTGGGAGAAATCATTTTAATGAAAACAGACAGAAGCCGTTGATCAGCAGCAAAAGCATGCCCTGTACTTCTCCAAAAACAAAGGCATCTACAAGACTGCATATGAATCACAATTAGTGTACCTGATGAAATGACAGATCTGTGCTTAATACTAGTTACTCTCTCAAAATGAACTCTCCTGGCTTCCCTAGGAAAGTTCCAGCTCCTGGAATCTCCCGGCTGAGGCACTCTCTTAGGAGAGGACATGTGAAATCTGTCTGCTTTACCCTCGTGCATATGTGTACATTACACTGCCCATACACAGGTGCTAGGGGCTACTCAGCAGAAAGAGAGAGAGCTGACCCAGCTGCCTGCAGGAAGAGCATTAAAGAGAAGGGAAAATTCATAGCATGCTGAGATAACAGGATTTTGGCTTTTGCTTCCCAGCACAGACTCCACAGGGAGAAGGTAATCCCCTGGCCCTGCAGAGCTCTGAAAAAAGGTAATGCTTCCTCAGGGGAAACACAAACTCAAAAGCCAGAGAGGGGAAGCAGCAAAGTGAAATTTCTGTGGGGAAAACAGACATAATTGTACAATGGTGGTTTAACTGAATATGTATTAATCAAATATAAAAACGTAGGTGTTTCAAGATCAGAATGAGTAATTTCTCCTAGAAAAATATTTCAGAACTCTCCCATGATAGCAGAACTTTTACAGAAAACTTTGTCTGCAGTTAAGGAAAAAGGCACCACCTATGCTCTGCCAAGCATACCTCATTATACTGCATTGCTGAGAAATCAAGATTGAGAAACACACTAGGTTTTCTTGGAGGGAAAGAAATACTTGCCTTGCAAGTCTTCCATGAGCTCAAATATCCCTGGATAATTTACTTGAATTTCATCAGTATCCTAAAAAAATTCAAAAGCTTAGTTTTTGAAGTGTATCTACAGCAAAATACAGTTTTCTTTTCTAAACAATTCTAATATTATAAAAGCCTAAGTCTGTCTGTCCGCAATGCTTTATTCACCCTGACTGTCTGACAGAAACAGCCAGTCAGAGTGCTCCAAGAGTAGGGGAGTGCTGCCCTGATTTCAATGCTGCGACGAAGACCAGACAAAGGGTAGGGGAGCCAAGGCCAGCGCCGCTCCCTGCAAGCCCCATCAAGAACCGGAGAGGGGGTGGGGGAGCTGGGACCAGCAGCGCTCCCTGCAAGAAGCAGACCAGCGGCAGCATGGGGAGTTATATGACAGCACCCTCTCCTCAGCTTTAGTCAGCCACACTTGTAACAAACAGTTATAAAATGATAGTCTTAACCTGTGGTCAACACTCACCCAATACAATGAAACATTAAATCACGGGGAACCAATCAGGCAGGCAGTTTCTTGGCCCTGCTGCCAGGCCCAGACTGCCATCTGCCCCAGGGTGAAAAGGCCATGTAGGGCTGCGTCCACACATGTGGATGTTTGGTTCCCCAGGGAGAACTAGCAGTGGTGCACCTTGAGCCACTGCTGCTTATCCCCAGGGAACGCCTCTGTTATGTGCACTTTGGTATGTGGCAAGTTACCCTGGGGGCAATAGGGGAGACTGGGACCAGCACTGGGATGGCCTCAGCAGCCTTACCTGGGGCTCTGGGGGCCTCCTAGGGCTGCAGCAGTGGCAATTCTGCCGCACAGAACCTGGCTGGCTGCTGCAGTGCGGCTCCGGCCGGCCCAGCTCCACTTTTGAGTGGCGTGCGCTGCACGTGCATGTGCTACTCCACTTTTTTTTTCCCCCATTGGGTCCAGGGGTCAAAAAAACCCTCTACACTGCTTGACTACAGCATGGAGAACATCTGAACATGTGGAATGGAGCGTCAGACATATCTGCGGCACCCCATGCTGCACAGCTGCATTCAACTGGATGTGCCCTAGATGCTCTACTTAGAGAAATATTTACAAGAATTACTTACAGTAAAACCTGCCCACATTGTGGCCTGAAAAGTGCTCCTCACTGGAACTGCTAGCTAGAACTTAACCCACTTAACTTCCTCTGTCAGTCTCAAACTGTCATGTTGACAGGACTTTAGAGAGCCAACTAACCGATTCACATCTAAAAAGGAATGAATAGGCAGCCAGTTCAGCACCAACACATTTTTAACTAGCAAGCTAAAACCACCTCCACATCCTGCACATCTATTTTCATGCATCAAATTTTAAATATCTATGCGAATACATGTATAGACTATTCCAGTATCTACTGTACTCAAATTTAAAACTAAGTACATTTGTATCCCATGCTTCTAACATTACAATTTAACAGTCCTGACATGAACAAGTAACAGATGTAACATATCTACCTAGGTACTATGGAAATAGAACTTTTTTTTGGATTAGGGTTTTTTGGGGTTTTTTTTTTTAAATATATTTGGGACATGAATGTGGGACAGCTTATAGGAAAACCATATCTAGCATTCTTAGAGGTAAATCAGATAAGCAACTTTTCTGTGTAAACATAAGCATTAAATTTTTTAAAGAGCATGAAAGCACTTTAAAGACTTAATTTCAAGGTGACCAACACAGATATATGATGTTTACATGTTCTATGTACACTTTTAGCTTGCACTTGCCACTGTGGCATCAGTTTGGTATTTATGTCACTCTCTGATGCATATTACTGCCAGTCTTTGCACCTCTTTGGCCTGTGGAGCTTGTAATCCCTCCTCTTCCATTTCTGTTCCCTAGCTTTGACATCTCTCCAGTTTAGTCAAGCTAGACTTCCACATAAGTAAAAGTTGATCGCTCATCCTCAAATCAGAACCAGTAGCATCTTCTCCACAACACTTTCTTAAACCATTGATATGACAGTGAGAAGTTACTAAACCAGTATTTTTCCAAATTGGTTCCCACAAAGAAAATGTATCTTTGCTAAAAATCAAACTGTCTGCACCATGAAGGTATGCCATGCCCAGCCTATATGCTCTATTAGTCTCCTACTATATAACAAAACTTGTCTTTTTTTTTTTTTTTTTATAGAGCAACTTTGATTTTCACAATTGCTACATTCCTCATGGAGATAAATTACCACAGTCAGAGTGTTAAAGCCAGCTCTTCCAAGCAGATGTCCCAAGTCAGAGACAGCAGTGAAGGGGGAGACATGTGGAGAAAATCCTCCCTCTCTTTCTAGTTCTGCTAGTTGCAGAGAGCAACGAAGCTCATACAGAGTGTCTCCTCCAAACATGGCACCAATAAATACTCCATCCGGTTTAAGGACTTGATGAATCTGTAACACACAAGGTCTGCTTAGTATTCAAGGTCTGAATTTTAAAAACATTTGTCAATGAATTCTTAAAACATTTTGTCTAGTTAGAAAAGAGTGACTCAATTAAATCAAGCATCTCATTTAATCCTAATTTGACTAGTGAGGAGGTAGGCAAAAGCAAAAGAACTTTAAAAGATGGATATTCTGTTTCCATTTGGAGTTCTAGTTTTAGATCTTTATTTTATACAAGCAATGTATTAACCTGCTTACTCAAAACTAAGTAAAGATGATACTGTAATCTAATCTTCACCATTTGAACTCACCACTGATCAGTAATACCCAGAATCACATTTCTCCAGGATATGCTACACACTGTTAATGAGTCAACACAATTTGTTTCCAAAGCGCTCGAAACAGCAGAATAAAATAAGATGAAGTTTAGAAAATACCAAACAATGTTTCAGGTGGCAATACAACACCAAAAGATTTTCAAAAGGCAAGTTCAAAAGGCAAAAAAAGTAAGTGTAACTGTCCATTTTCAGGTAATGATACTGTATTTTGTTTTTTGAAACATGATAGTGCATGCATGCTAGACTCTAATACATCTGGCCTTCTGAGGGGAAAACAGACTGTATTTATATGTGTAGCATCTACTAAGCCTTTTGGATCCGCTGTTACTGACAAGGCCTCCTCTTTAGATTTGTGACTCCCAAGGAACACATTATGTATAGTTAGAAATCAGATAAAAAGTCAATGCAGGTCCAAGCAAACGTAAGACTCAATATTTTATGTGAACAGAAAACCCCGATTAGATCCTGAGCTATCTGCTTCTAATTATAAGTTATAGCAGGATGATTGCTTGTATTTTTATCATACTTTACAGATGAAAGCACCAGAGACATATTAAGAATGTTCTGAATTTTAAGAAGTCAGGACAGCAAAGTTGGCCTTCTTTAAAAAGTTAAGAGCCAAGTTGCTACCTGATAAGTTGACTGCACTAAGCTTAGTCACTAAATTCCAACTTAAGGCCCAGAAGTAAAAAGGCTCTCAAATATATTATACCATGCTATAAGCATGCAATGCTATAAGCATAAGTGTATGTTGTTTATATAACTAAGTTAAAATACATTTCTTCAGCTTGAATCTGAAGCTTGAATCTGACATAAATAAGAGTTTAAATAAAATGTACAAGTGATCCAAGTTACATGTAAGGGAAGTGGAAAGAGTATTTGATCTGGTTATTAAACCTCTCATTCCATGAAAATGTTGAGATTTCAGCAGACAAATGTGACAAGTATCAGTATATGGATAGCTGCACCAACTTAAGGATGTTGGTCCCAAAGCATGGAGTTAGTAAAATCAAGATTACAGTTAATCAACATCTGAAATTTTTGTTTTATGTTAAATTGTGACATTTCATTTGGTAAAAATAAATTTTGAAAACAAACATATCATTTCAAAGTTCCTTTCAAAACTGGATTCTTAAGATTTTCATTGTGAAAAATTTTGCAGTTTTCCATTTTATTATTTATGTGAACATCATGATAGGGTAGCTCTAGAAAAACATTAATATTGCACAGTAAAACAGAAAAGTGGATATTAAAAAATGCTCATGAAATACTCCAACCTGAACCTCTAAAATATTTTGTCTTGTGGGAATTTGTTGAAACAAACTTGACTTCATGGCATTCTACTCTTTTCTGCTTATCAAAGCCCAAAAGAGTCACTTACACACAGGCTGGCATTCTATACCTGGGCATGTAGCTCTATATTCACCTGTGCGACTACATAGTTGTGGAGACTGAGCACATACAGTAGCAGCCAGAATATATATACACATGCTCCCTGTGGACACCTTAGATGTCCAGAAATTAAGTTAGTCAAAACCCACGAGTGTTGCACCTAGCCTCAGGAACTGAAGAGAGCCATGTGTTTATCCATTTCTCTCATTTTGTTGCTTAGACGTCCAGGATATGACAAGAGTCATTTCAATGCAACTTATCTATGCATGCAACTCCCATATGCAAAATTATATATTGAAACCAAGGTAGAGTTCTTTTTATATGCATCACAAACAATTTCTTACCTCTCTAAAAGCTCTAGGAAGGTCATTCACCCAATGCAAGCTGAAATAAAGTGTGTCAATTTTATTAGGACTTAGTACTATTAGTATTTATTAGCAGTAAATAAAATTTGGGAAAGGCAAGTGACTACTGCCATAACAGATATTTTAGAGGACAAAGGAAACAACTATCAACTTTCCCCCCAAAACAAGTTAAAAGTTATGAAAATTATGTTTATATACAAAACTGTAGAAGGCTTTTTTATTTTCTTTTTTTTCATTTTTTACAGCTAGAAAATGGACTGCTCGGATACTACTCAGAGGGCAGGAAACTACTTGCGCATTTATATTTATCCTTAAGAAAAAGTTAATTGTCACATTCCACAAAAACTAACAGCAAAATACTTTAATTACATAATGATTTACTGAACAATAATAATAAGCAATACTGAGGAAAAAGCCTTGGCCTATATGAAGCCATTTGTCTAGCAGTTGGGGAAGAATGCTATCCGATTTTTTAAAAATAAACTTAGTTACGTGATTTATACAAACCTTAAACTGCTAACAACAAGCTCAAATGTGTTTTCTCTGAACGGAAGGAATTCTTCATCAGCTACAATACTGACAGTGGGGATTTCAGTTTCCATAGGAGTTTTCTAAGTCAGGTTAGAATGAACACAAAGTTTCAGACTTATTTCTTTTGCTCCACAGCACTGGGGCATTACAGCATGACAAGCAAAAAGGTCAGATGACAACTTACCAATGCATTCTCTGCAATATCTACTTGCACAAGTTTTAGAACCGTTCCCTAAAATAAAAAAGAATTGATCAAATATTTGATATTGTTTTTTATAAACCAACCTAGACAGCATTGGGGAGCCACCAAAGAGGGAAAACCTGAGCCTTATCTGCTTATCTCTTCACACTTGGAGCCTGAGAACTTCAAGGCTAGTCATTTTGAACAAAACAATCTAAGCCATAGATAAGAGACTTATCTCATTTAAATATATTTTAGATATTAACAACTGTATAAGGGTACAAACTGCACTATATTTTAGATATTACCAAAGCATAGTACCTTGTTTAAATACTGGGCTATGTAGCCTTTTCCACAGCCAACATCCAAAGCAAGTGGGAATGCTCTGAAAGAATTAATATCCAAATTAAATTTGAACTGCTTTATTTAAAAAAAATCCTTAATGTTCAATAACTCTTCCTATTCAACATAAATTTAGATTAGCATATTTACTATGTCAAGTTCTTCAGTCACTCTCCTTCAGCACACATTTACTCATATATCCTTTAATGGCATCTGACTAATTGAACTCCAGGATTATCAGTGACCACTTTAATTTTCAAGAGGTAGAAATTCACTTAAAACTTTTCACACTTCTCTAGCCAAAACATTTGTAGGAAATAAAAATATCCACACACACACGCGCGCGCGCGCGCACACACACACTACAGAAAATATGTAAAATGTTTTGTCTTCTAAAGCTTCTAGGGAGCACTGGCTTCCAAAGTGAGTTAATACTACAGAAATGCAACATAGACATACAACACAATACAGTGCTGTCCCTGGGTCTGGAGTGGACCTACACATAGTCTGAGGCACATGCCAGCCCATCCCCATGCACAGGGCCCGGGGCACATACTGCACCTAGCACCCCTTCTCCACCCCACCAAGCTGCTTCAGGGCAGGAGACGCATGTGACGAAGAGCCCAAACCAAGTGGCAAGGGTGCTGTGTGTGGCAAATACCCAGAACCAACTCCGCACAGCTGCGACATGTGGGACAGTCCTAGCTCATCTGAAACAAGCACCTCATGCGATGGATCTAGCATGGGGGCTTGGGGTGGGCAGAGGCATCATCTTCATGGGCCCCGCCGCATGCTATTATCTGGCCCACAGGGCCAGATGAGTTTAACACCACTGATTTATACCTGTAGGGAACAAGTATTTCTTATTATACATGATACAGGATTTTATCTATAGCCAGTTTCACTATTTCTCCAGAATACTAAAGTATATCCACCTTCCCCAAATTGAGGCCTTTCCACAGAAGAGGGGAGAAATGCGCAGTAACGTGCCAAAAAGTTAGCTGGGTGACTCAAAGAAGGGATAACTATTGCACGTCTAACTCATGCTTTTAACTGAGTAATTATAGCAGAGAATAACCATAAACTCTAGAATACAGTTTTCATACGATTAACTTACCTGGCTACATCAAACACACGGTCTGCTACTCGGCCACCAACCTGGAGAATTAAAGGAGTTTATTTAGCACCTATAAATGGGGATGAACCATCTAAGTTACCCACCTGAGTTCTTCCTGAGAACAGGAGGTTCTCATCTCAGTCGTAGGTACAGGGTAGATTCATTCAGATTCTTGGGCCTGGTCTACACTACACTGGCTAGCCATACAAATGAAATGCACAGCCTGGTTCATAGTTACACTTAACTTGTCTTGTACCAGGAAAACCTTTTATTTGTTCCTGGCATGCATTTCCCTTTTTTTGGAGTAACCTAGGCCCCCTATTTGTGCAGTACTATTGGCAGTGGCCATGTAGACATCAAACACACTCATACCGCTATAAGCAGTTCTCCACCTGAAACTATAATGCTACGTTCCCTATACAGCAGCACTTGAGAAATGACCAAGGCTTACTTTGCTCTTCAAAGCTCAATAAAGTCTTAACAGTTGCATCTGTTCCTGTTACTGACATCTTTCTGCTGAAAACCAAAGCTACTTGCTCTTGGTTTTGTGCTGCCAAAGTACCCAAAGTAGATGCAACTATGGCATAGGATGCAGCTGCCGCATGCAGCTATGGCATAGGAACAATATTTGGAGTTGCTAAGCTGTTGCAGTGAAAAACCCAAGTGGAAAGGGGAAAGAGCTGAGGCAAGAGAACCATGTGATTAAATACTCGGTTTTACCTGAGCCTGTTACAAAGAGCTAAATAAATTTATCAGGTGCCTTGCTTTCTCTGCTCTGCCTTTTCTTTTTTCTTTTCTAGCAATCCTGGGCATATTTCATGAAAGAAACTGAATGTTGATGTGTTTTCAATTTGATAATGGCTGGTCAAGCTAGAAAGCCATTCCTACAGCTGCAAGGTCTTCTACTAGTAAAATTGAGGATTGACCAGTCACTGATCTATGAATACCACAGAAGCCCTAGCATTATATAGTAGATATTTAACCTTTCCTTACCGCACCAACCTCCCAGAATTTAGTTAATTCCTTAAAACTTGTTACTCCACATAAATTACAAACACATCTATACAAGGCAGCACTTCCCTGCAGCAGGGATCACACTCCCTCTCAGCACCCTGCCACACCTTCAAATTAAGCTGAATAGAAACGAGCCATGAAGTTGTTACATATTTTCATGTGCTAACTTTTTAGCTGACGGGCTCTTTTTTAAAGCTGGAATGTCATTTTTATGGTGTGATAATTGCTTTCTACGTTGCAGATCTAAATTTATTGCATGAATCGCCAGTGAATCGTGCGACCATTACTTTGCCCACTGTGGCAGGTCTGAATTCATTGCGGGATTCACCTGCGAACTGTGTGATACATGTAACATGCAGCAGGAGCCTCAGCTGCTTGCCCAGGAGCAAAGACCACAGCAGGCAGGCATAATATTTATGCTGGGGGACAGGAAGCATGCAGGTTGTGGCAAAAGAAGAACCAGCGCTTCCCCCACAAACCCCTACCCAACTCAGGGGAGTTTATGGCACTACCTATAAGGCTACAGGGTGGGCAGAGGGGGTCCCCTAGGACCTCCAGTATCCCTTAATCCCCCACTTCCTCCCTAAAGAGAGTGTCCCCGACTATTTTACAGCACATCAGTTTGCAGAGAGTTGGCCACATTCTCTTTGGGGAAGGAGTGAGGACATGAGAGATACTGGGGGTCCCTCGAGCAGTGGATTACGGGACACTGGGGATCCTAGGAAACCCCTGTGGCCCCACAGGCGATTGGCTGCCAGGGTGTCCCGCGCTGCTGCCCCTTCCCCGACTGGTGGGAGCAGGCGGGGTGTGGGGCTCGTGCGTCCTTCAGCCCAACGGCTCCTGGCGGGGCGGGGGAGGGAGTAGGGGAGAGGCGCAGAACCCCCAACGGCCGCTCAGCCCCGAACAATGGGCGCACCTCGAGCCTCTCGCCCCGGAGGACGAGGCGGCCCCTACTGCCGCCTCCCCGGACGGCGCCCACAAGCGGCGGCGCCAGCAGCGCAAGTCGGCCCGCAGGAGGCGCGGGACAGCAGCGCGGAGCACTACGCCGGCCACCATGGCAGCACACACAAAGCAGTCCACAGCGCGCTCACGCACATGCGCCGAAGCCACCCCCTGGCTTCCGGCGGAAGGTGGGCAGAGGGCGCCGCGCTGCGCGTTGTGCGCATGCGTTAGGGGAAAAAAAAAAAAAATAGAGCGCGATTTGTTTTGTCCTACTCAGTCCGCCGTAGTGCGCCGGAAGTTGGGGAAGTGGGGAGTAGTGCCCGCGTGACGCAGGGGTGCAGGTGAGCGGTTCGGGGAGGGAGGCACGCGCACCCCTCGGCCCCCCCCATGCTCCTCGGGGCCTGCAGCTGTGCTGGTGGCGCGGGTGGAGGGTGCTCGCCCCTTGCCTTCTGGCGGGCGGTGTCCCTGCTGGTGGCGGGAACTTCCCCAGGCCTGGAGAGCGGGGCCGGGGGTGGAGTTACCACTGGAGTTGAACTCGTGTGTATGTAACGTGCTGCTGCAAGCGTATTAAATGGGCGCGTGCGTGTGTGTGTACTCCCGCACTAGCAAATGCATTCACGTGTATAGCTGTTCACTATTGAAACACTTGTAAACGCAGGTATGTGTGTGCGCGCAGGTGCATTTCGATGCCTGCATAGAGAGATGTGTACAGGTACCTGCCTGTATACACACGTGTAGATACATATGTATTTGGCTTGAAGGTTAGTCATTTGTCGTGTGGCCATTAGTCGTGTTTCTTTTTAACTGACAGATTTCTGGTCTCTAAAAAAGCTATATTATTATCATTACTAGTCGCATCAGTAACAGTAATAACTGTTGATAATATGCTGTAGGAGTGTGTGAAGAGGGCCCTATTCGATCTGGATTTGGCCCAAATCGGAGACAGTGATTTGATTTGGATCACTGTCCCTGAATCGATTCGGCCAAATCCTAATCTGAAGATTTGATACTGATTTGGAGAATCAGCAATCAGACATAGACACAGCTTTAAATGTTTTTTCTACGTACCTCGAGGTACCAGTATGGCTCGTGAATGCTGCGATGCTGGGGTGGACGGAGCATCCCACAGGAGCGTAGGGGGCCCTTCCACGTGCTCAGCAGTGAATCTGTCTGCTGGGCAGCACGCTAGGGGGCTCCCCTGCACTGCCTGGCTCCGCAATTGGCTGCGGGGGGCCCCAGGTGCCCCCTCCCCCCCCTAGACCCAGGAGGCACCAGTCGCTGAGCCAGGGAGGTGTGGGGGGGCATGCTCCGTGGCAGACCCGAAAGTGGACCAGAACTGCTTCTGGTCCACTGCTGGGTCTGCTACTGAGTGCACTGGGGAGCCCTGCATGCTCCTGTGGGACGCTCCATGCGCCCCAGTATCACAGCATTCACAAGCTGCCTGCTACCTAGAGGTATGTAGAAAAAACATTTAAAGCTGTGTCTGTCTGAATCTTTCCAAATCGATTCGGAGAGTTCTGATTCGATTCAGAGAGATTAAAGGGTCCTCTGGTTTGGTTCGGCCACCGAACTGGGCCGAATCTCTGTGGAATCGAATCGGGGACTGAAGCTTTGCACAGCCTTAATATACTGGTAATATGATTACTAGTTAATATTATTAAATAATAATAATAACTTCTTGACTCTGGTACTGCACATAGTCATACTGTTTTTGCTGAAAACCACAGCTGCTCACTTGCTTTTGGTTTTGTACTGCTGCCAGGTGTATTGTACTGTGAGGACTTTTGCATGTGTTGACCTCAAGTGCTGTCAGGCTTCAAGTACATCCCCCTGCCCTTCCTTCCAGGAGTCAGTTGGTTTCTTGTGTAAGTCCACAGCTTAGTGCTTACCTGTTTGTTTGGTTTCTGTGCAGGCCTTCTGCCCCCCCACCCCACCCAATCACAAAAGGCTCAGGGCAGCTTGCAATAAAAATTAGTTAAGGCATAAAACCCCTCCAAAATAGTAAAATAGAATGTTATATGTACCCAAATGCAAGATGACTTTCAATTTAAGATGACCCCCTGCCCCAATAATTAGTTTCTATATCTGGAAAATTATAGAATCTAATTATTAGAAGGTCATCTGAAGTCCATTCTCCACACAGCTATGACAGGAAAAGCTAAGGTGAGGAGCTGCACCCCTGCCCCTTCCTCCTTCTCCTGCCCCTTCACCCCCAGTGACTGCTTCCCTTGCTGCTTACACCCACTGCTGCTTACCTTTTGCATTTCTCTGGCTCGGGCAGTCGGCACTGGCTCCAGTCCAGGGGAGCAAGACAGGAGTGCTGGATCAGGACTGGAGTCACAGGTGACAGCAAGCGAGCCGGGGAGGATGCATGGTCTCCCCTGTGCTTTCCCCTTTGCGAGCCCCCTGCCCCCACTACATGAGCCACCCTGACCTGGGTAAGAAGCGGCTCAGTTCTATCTTCGGCCTCGAGCCAAAGCTAGAGCTGAACTACTACCTGCCCTGGGCTGATACTTTGAATTCAAGACTTGCATTGTTTCCCACTGATGCTGACTGGGGGAAATAGCCTCATCTCAGATTTAGATTAATATGGTAGTACATGATACAACAGCTCCCTAAATGACACCCCAAAACTTGACACTGCTTGCTAAAAGTCATGCTCAAATAAGAATGACTTGAGTAATTTTAAAACTTGAATAAGACCCAAAGTTGGGTATAATTACGTTGGGGAAGGGTCTACCCTCGCTGTGTGAAATGCCTTGGAGAAGCCTATAGATCAGGATGGTATTTGTTCACTTCATGAATCTCACAGTACACATTTTCTTAAAATGTGCTGATGAGCACTTCCTTTATCCTCCTTATCTTTATGAAAGTACTAACCCCCCCTCACTTTTGCCTTTAAAAGTTATAAACTCAAAGCTAAACAGCAAAAGAAGAAAATAAGTGTGCACTATTTTCCAGCATCGTGTTTGGGTTTTCAGGAAAAAAAGGAAAGTAATGCTAGGAGAAATTAGGAACTTGTAATTTAACAATATCTCAATTTGATATCTAGTCCGGTATCAAACCCCACTGATCCCAGGCTCCCTGGTCCAGCCAGTGTCCCAAATAACGAAGAGTAGGATAGGCCATGGTGAGACTGAGAGGGCATTTTCACCTCCGCTCACCCCAAAATCACGGTGGCAGGTTTTTTGTGGGGTTTTTTTTTTTTTAGTAACTTTTTTCTTACTCGTTTTTCCTTATTGTTTGGAATTCAAGTTGTGGTCTTAGGAAGTAGGTTTCCTTTTTAGCTTCCCTTTCCTTTCTGCCAACTGAAAAAATATTAGCAAGAAAATGCTGCACACTGTTTCCTTTCTGTTAACTTCTGTATAATTTATCTTTATGGGATATGCATTTTTAACATTTATATTAATCACTTTATTAACAAAAAGGTCACACTTAAATCTGGTTTTTTATGTTCTAGGTGGCTGAAGCTTTGATTCAAGAGCACTAAAAATGGCATCCAAGCAAGAACTCATGAGGGATGAGCGCTTTAGCCACATCACGAAGGACCCTAGATTTTGGGAAATGCCAGATAAAGAGCGTAAAATCAAGATTGACAAACGATTCCGGGCTATGTTTCATGACAAAAAATTCAAGTTAAAATACACTGTCGATAAAAGAGGCCGCCCTGTTAATCACAGCTCTACAGAGGATCTCAAACGCTTTTATGAACTTTCAGATTCTGATTCTGAGCTATCAGAGTCTGACAATAAAGTCATTTCTGAAAAGGAAATGAAGAAAAAGTCAAAATCTAAAGGAAATAAGGACTCTGGGAAGTTGCTTGTCAACAATGTTCCAAAGGAAGAAAGAAAAATATTTAAACAAGAAACAGACCAAAGGTGTCAAGCTGTGTCAGAATTCGGTGACATACAGAATAAAGCACAGAAAAGAATCATAAGCTTATGTACATCCACGTTAAAAAAAGACTGTAAGAAAATCAGCGTAGTAACTGATCCTATGCAGGATAGTAAAGAACCTGTATTGCAAGCAATGAATAAACAAAAAGATATTTCATCTCAAAGCAAAACAAAGACTTCAAAAGCAAAAAGTGCTCAATCAATGATGGTTCCCAAGGCAACATGTTCCACAGAGGGAAAAAATACTGGATCAGGTTAGTGAGATTAAAGGGAGATGCACTGCTAAATAAAACGCTGTAAGACTGATCATCTAAATAAGTGACAGATTTTTTCATTCCTTAATAAGATTTGGGTGCAGTTTCATTTTGTGAAAGACTTGAATTTTAAATGAGGCCAATAATACCAGTGTTTCACATAGGTTAAAACATTTGAAAGAGTATGGCAATGAAGTATATGTCCTTACATTTTCCAAAGAAATTGGGAAGAAGTATGAGGCCTGATTCTGCAAACACTTCAACACACTTAATCCTAGGTGTCTATGTTTGGAAGATTAAGCTTTGTGAGAGGAATGCTGTTTTAAAAGAAAGCTAATATAGAATGGTATTTCATTGGATTAAAAAGGATTAAAATTTCATAAGAGGGAAAGCATAATTATTATCATAAAGGGCAGTGAACTAGATTTTTTTTCCTAGACTGTTTTTTCATTACCAGCACTATAAAGATTGTTGTAATGTTATTTCAGGACTTGACCTTTACAGTATATTTTCTGTCCTATATTTGAATTATTTTTTCTTATTTAAAAGTGTCTTGCTATTGAGACTCATAAAATAAATGTTCAAAATGATTTAAGTTTGCCCTCTGAGGTAAGTTGCAGATCTGTCTTAGATAAGAAAGATGTGTTCTATTTCTAGAACGTTGGTGGGGAAAAGCCTTCTGGACTGAAAGCTTATTGTTACTGCAGACTCTAACAAGGTAGCACAGCCTAGGTATTATACAGAGAATTATATTTATGTAGAGAATAACTGGATTTCTGTTGCAAGAAACTTTGTTATATGTGTGTATATGATATGATGCATGGAGCGATTGCATCGGGCAGAAGGGGAAACGAATGGGTTAAGTTAGGGGGACAAAGTCTTAACACTAATAATGCTTCTTAATAATGCAAGATAAAATTGGAGCAGTTCTTCAGAAGGAGAGATGCGTGCTCATTGTTTGAGCTAATTTGAAGCAATGGGACTTTAAAACAGCCCAGATATTTCTTTTATAGTTATGGACAGATAGCAATATATCTCTTGCTATTTTAGTACAATGTTCTACAGTCCATTTCAGTGTAACTCTCTTGTTCCTTTACAGTATAATATCTTTAGTCAAATTTAATTGATTAGAGTATTGAAATCTGTCATTCCCCCCTATAATGGCATTACTGTTTGGTATTCTTTTTGCTCTTTTGCCTAATATATTCTTCTGTTGGGTCATGTGTCTATGCAAGGTAGACTGTAAAGTTCATGGAACAGAGAACAAGTAATTCAATGTGTAAAGCTGTGTGTGGGGTTGCATATATGCACTTGATAGAAAATTAAACCTGGTGTGTATTTTTTGCTTATGAAATAAACAGTGCAAAGAAAAGAAAATGAAGTTCTTAAAAGTGAAGAAAGTTTCAGTTTCACAGATTCTGAAGACGTTGAAATAGGAGAGGAAGAGGAGTCAGAAGATGTAGAGGAGATGGGAGAGGAGGAGGAAGAGTTGGAAGATGATGAAATGGGGGAAGTGGAGGAGGTGGAAGATGAGGTAGAAGCAGGAGAGGAAGATTACAGTGATTCGGAAGAAGATGATGAAAGTGACGGTGGGCCTGATCTGGCTAGAGGGAAAGGAAATGTTGAGACTAGTTCTGATGATGAAGAAGAGGATGACTTAACGGAGTTTTTGCCAAAGGAACCAGAGCTTGAGCATGCCTGGCGGGAGTTGGATAAGGATGCTCCTCGTGGAAATGAGGTAACATTTTGGAATAAACGTTAATAGCAGGGTCGTACAAAGGAACTCTGTGCCAGAGATTTACAGAACAGCTTTTTGTTTCATAGCAGCCCTTCTCTTTATTAGTAAATCCGTGAAACGATCTCTAAAAAAGGACCTTGAATAAAATTGTCCTAATGCTTTCTTTCCTTCTCATTAAACAAAATGCAGTGATTATGCAGTTATTGACCAAATGAGCAAACAAATAAGTAAAGGCTAATGTTAGAGGTGAACTGATGCATTGGTCCGATGCAAAGACAATTTTCTGTATTGGAAATACAGCCCAATGTGGCCGATTAATTTGTCCGATAAATGCATGGTGTGCGCAGCTGCAGCGCAGTACTTGGGCAACGAGGAGCAGAGCCTGGCAGCTTGGAGAACTGCATGCAGCTGGTAAGTCGGGCGGGGGCAGATCAAGGTCCCTGTGGTGAGGGAGGGTGTGGGGCTAGGGCAGGGGCTACCCAGCTGGAGTGGGTGCAGGATGTGGGTGGGGGGACACCATTGCTCCTGCCGCTGCACGCAGCTTGTCTGGTGCTCATCTGGTGGCTCCCACCATAGCTTCCACCACTTGTCTAGGAAGGCGTTGGGGGGTGGGGAAGGGGAAATGCGCCCCTGGATCTGCGCAAGGCAGGGCAGGTTGAGCTCTTCTTAGCTGGGCAGATCCAGGGCCTTCCTTCCTCACCCATGCCCACCCAGACAAGTGGTGGGAACAGTGGCGGGAGCCACCCCCCTTGCCCTTCCTGTGCACCTCTGATGAGCTGTGCCTCTGTCCTGCGTCCCAGCCCACTGTGCAGATCTGGGGGTCACATGCCCCGCTCCCCGAGTGAGCTGCTTGCAGCTCTGTCCTGCGCCCTGCCCTGGCTGGTCAGTGCCAGCCCCATTCCCTCCCTCACTGCAGGGCATAGGTGGGGGGCATAGGGGGACATGAGTGCCCCCTGAGATTGGCTGCCACCGGCTTCTGCAGGTGGTCGCTGCTCCCCCCATTGCTGCTGATGCAGTGGCGGGCAGTCCTTGCTCACTGCTGCCACCTGTGCGGACAGTGGTGGCAGGTGGTCCCTGCTTGCTGCTGCTTCCGCTGCTGCTGTCTGCGTGTGATTGCCATGAGCCGCCCCCCCCCACCTCAGGAGGCATGCATTGTTCATGCTGCAGGGGCCTTGATCTGCATGTCTTGGGACCTCCCCCCACACACACACACCTTCTACCATACCAGACTTACCAGTTGGATATAGCTTTTCAAGCTGAAGAACTGTGTATTGGAAATTGGATCAGTAACAGCTGATATGCCTCCTTAAAAACTGGCTATCGGTATCAGCCCCAAAAATCTTTATCGGTGCTCCCCTGGCTAATGTTATTAGACAAACACTTGACTGATGAAATCTGACTAAACAGTCAGTAGTGATTCAGCCTTGAGCAGGAGATTGGACTAGATAATGTGTTGAGGTCCCTTCCAGCCCTATTTTCCTATGATTCTGTGATAATTATTTGTTTAATTTTCTTTCATGTTATCCTAGCCACACCATTAGTAATTGATATCAGGTAAGATTGGAACTTTTCAGAAATGATTTTAAGGGTGATTATTTTCACTGTTCTTGGTTATCATAGATTTTCATTATTTTAAAATTGGCCTCTGAGTAAAACAGCTCAACTTCCAGAATAATTTTATATACACTGCTTGCAGAGTTAGTACAGCTCAGACCAAAGAGACTTCTTATGTGACTGATTTTAGAGTTCTCTTGGGATCTCATACTAACCCTTCATTTATTTTCAATTAAAGTGACCGGGAGAGGGCATTGCAAGCAAAAATAGTCTATGTTCTGACACGTTCTAAAATAAATCTTGCATTCAAAAACAGATTATGGATGTGCAATTGCAGTGTTACTGGTAACCTTCTGTGTGTCTCTTTTTTTTTTTTAAGTCTGAGTCATGGACATGTTTCCTACCATGCAGCCATTCTTAGTATTGCCATCCTTTATCACAGCAATTGGCATCAGATGAACCCTACTGCATCAGCTCTGTTGAATTCTTTATTTATTATCTAAATCATTTGCTTTGACTGCTACTATGTAGAGAAACAATGTGTTTGCTGAGCCATCCATTGGAACGGCTTGTTTCTTTCCACAGTTGCACTTCATGTAGATTACTTTTGATGTGGCCTGTCTTCTGTTTGCCTGCTCTGACACTGCATCTACCATATATAATGTGGATAAAAATCATGATATAAAATTTGATTTTTTTTTAATTATTATTTTTAAACTTTTTAGGTCAGTTAGGTTTACTTACGTGTTCCTGGTTTTCATATATCTTTGAATTGTTAAAACAGCTGTTTTAATTTCCTAATAGTAGAAAATCAGGTTTCTTCTCTTCTGCTAAGATTTTTTTTTTATCCACTAAGAAATTTTTCAGCTTAAAAGAGAATTTTAAATGTAAGTTTACGGCTTCATGAACATCTTTTCAGAGAGGGCATAAACTTTTTTTTTTTTTTTTTTTAATATGCAAACCATATTTGCAATGAGGCCACAATTGTAGTTGACACTGCCTTTTAAAGGGAGGTACATCACTATATCAGTTAGATTTTTGATAGACACTTATAAAATGGAAATGACATTATTGGCTTTTTTGGCCATTGTAACCAATGTTTACTAGTAATTATACTTTCTGGCCGGGGCCCTGGACACCTGGGTTCTCCCTAGCTGGCAGGACCTGGGTTCACTCCCACAAGCCATGGTGACCATGAGTGTGGAGGGCCCAATCCAGGTGCAGGGGCCTGAGCCATTCTCCATCCCCACCCAATCCCCTCACCTTCAGGGCAAGACTAGGCTGGAGCAGAGCACAGCAACTGGTAGTGTCCTGGATGCTGGCACAGCGTGGACTGTTGGCTGGGGCCAGGGTGGGAGTTATAGGAGGTGGCAAGTGCTGCAGAGACATGACTGGGGCATGTGGAGCTGCCTGTCCTGGTGTGACTCAGCCCTCAGTGCTTGGGGGCCCATGTCCCAGGGGCTGGGGGCAGAGCCTGGCAGGGGCTGGGGCAGCTGCTTCCCCCTGCTGTGTGCAGCAGGGTCCTCCCCTAGCCTCTCAGCCCACCTAGTTCCTGCCTTTTCCAGGGCCAGGTCCATTCAGCCTCCCCTGTCAAGCAGAGGGGTTTGCCATGCCCCTGGCAACAGCAGTACCAGGAGGAGAAAGGCGCCTTTCCCCCCACTGGAGTCTGGGACCTGGCTGCTAGGGAGTAATGGCCTGGCTTCTCCAGGCCTGGAATGGTCCTGTGGCCCTTCCCCGAGCAGAGGGAGGAGAGTGGGGAGCCTTGACCAGAGACCACACAGCCCTGGTCAATGAAGAAGGGTCATACCTTCTGCCTCCACCCTGCTGGGCAGGCTCAGGCCCTGCCTACAAGCTGGAGTTCAGGGACATCATGCAGAAGAGCAGGAGCTGAAGGGCTCCGCACAGCCAGTTGCAGGCATTGCTAGGCCAGCTCCACCTGCTGCAACTGGCGTGGGCCCTGGGCACTTTTACATATTCCAGAGGTGGGAGGGGCCGCACTTGATTTAGAGTGGCTACCACAGCCACTCTATTTAAAGTGCTGCAGCATCTTACATGTCACTGTCCCCATGCTTAAAAATGGCAGTGGGGGGGCTTGAACTAAAGGTCGTCGAACAAGCTTTAGTTCAAGTGCCCCCGCCACCAATTTTAAGCACAGGAACCCTGATACATGAGACACAGGAGGCTGCTGGAGCACACCAAAAAAAAGGGTGTATTTATGTCAGTAGTTTAAAATGCCTTGCATTATTACTGAGTATTGGTTATGGGATTGGCAGTGACCAATATGGTTGGTTAATCGTTGGCTGTTGGTATCGGCCAAGGAAGTCTATTGGTAGACCCTATTTTTAAATGTTGAACTTCTACAACGCAAGAAATCTGAAATATTTTAACCTGGCTATCCCATCAAAATTTGCAGTTGCAAGTCAATGAAATTTAGAAAAATATTTTTTTTAAGTTATTTTAGAAAGTTTAACTGAAATGTAAAATTGCACATTAGGAAAAGAAATCTATAACAGAGGTTAGAGAATAGTACAAACAAGGTAATAAAAGCATATTTCATCATAGCCCTGTTTTATTGAAATATAAAATAAAATGGCTTATAAAGCTGGGTGAATTTTTATGAAAGTGAAAGATGAATGTCAACTATGAGATATTGCTTGTATCATAAATAGTAGAGCCAGTACTGTGGGAGGTTGTATTTGTAGGTCTTCCCTTTGCTTTGTCATTCACTTCAGTGTTGCCAAAGAATGATCACTGTGCAATTGAGTGTTTGTACTAAGGAATCAACTACCAACGTCCAGTTGCAATTAATATATTTTGCTTTATTTCTCAATGTAGATTACCAGTAGATTAGCAGTTTGCAACATGGACTGGGATAGGATAAAGGCTAAAGACCTACTAGCTCTGTTTAATTCCTTCACACCTAAAGGAGCTGTTATATTTTCTGTAAAGGTAAGGATTGATTTCTAATGGGAATACAAACAAAAATGTATTTTGATGTTTCAAAAGTTGCTTTTTTCATTTGTTTTCAATAGAAAACATTTTTCTGGCTAGCTCCCCTGTCCTTCCCTCTGCTCTTCAGTTGGTTTGTACTAGAACTTATTTCAGTTTGAGCATTAGTTCTACACTTGTCCTTTCACGAGATAATAGGCAAAAGATACTTTTAAAGCATAACACTAAGGGCTTACTCCTGTCCCCTTAGAGTGGACAAACCTCCATTATCTGATGAGGAGCAGTTCATGTACACAAGCAGTGTAATTTTATCTCATCTGTTCTGCTGGGATTTGTAGCACTGTTGTTACAGCTGTCAAGCACATCCTATACTAATACCCTATATTCAGTTGCATGTACATTTGCCAAACAGTTTGTTCAGGCAGAATTTTTCAGTTCCTCTGGTTGACTTTTTTTTAATTTCAGAGTTTAGTTATTTCCCAGAATGGTGTTAGGGGACATTATTGCTTGCTTTATCCACATTAAAATCAATTAAGTAGAAGGTCCTTGGGGGGATGAGGTACAGTGGGGAACTTTGCTTATGACAGCATAGTTAAAGATTTTATCATAACTTACATGCACAGGAGGCCAAATTGCAGTTGCACAGTCAAACTACATTTTGGCATTTTGTAAACATGTGGCTTTGCAACCTTAGGCTGCGTCCAGATGAGCAAGAGCGTGCAGTTTGTGGCACCACAAACCTCTTTGTGGCTTCACAAATCACACACGGTGAACATTTAAACAATGCCAGCAAAATTTGCTACCAGGATTTCGTGGTAGCAAAAAAAAAAAAAGTGCTGGAGTAAAAAGCAGTGCAACACACATGAAACAAGCTTGCACCGGCACAACCAGAACCTAGGTTGTCCAGAGCAATGTTCTGGCTGCCAGCTAGGCCTCTGTGCTGCCCCTGCTGCTCCAGCATTCCTCTAGGGCTGCTTGTACACGCCACAGGGGTTTAATTTGGGTTAGTTCTCCCTAAATTGAAACAGTGGGTTTTTTAAAAACACCACTTCTATTTAGAGAGAATTAAACCTAACTAAACCCCTCTGGCATGTACACAAGGGTGGGGGGCCTGATCCTTACCTGCCTCTTCGACAGTGGGGGGGCGAGCTGCCAGCAGGCCAAGCGGTCCCTGAGCTGTGCGGGGGCCCCCCAGGTGGCACCTGTCCACTAGCACCCAACCCAGGTGGTCCCGGGGGGTGCTGCAGCTGTGGAAGGAAGCACCAGGCCGCTGCACAGCTCAGGCTGGCAGGCTCCGGGGAGGAAAATAAAAATCAGGCTTGCTGCTTTTTTCCTTCAGTGAAGCCTGCCTGCATGGGTTGCTGCTGGGTCCCATAGCCCCTGAGCTGCGTGGGGCTCACCAAGCCCCAAGCGCAATGGCTTTCAGTACCCCATGCACTGTTGCACTTTGTTCGTTAACAAACTAAAACACCTCAGAGGTGTTTTATCTTGCTAGAAACCAAACCTTTAAAGCTGCCAAACGTGCAAACAGCAACACCATTAAAGCAGTGAAGAAGGGCATTTAAGCCTCTTTAAAGACCAATTTTGTGGCGTGTTCAAAGGCCCTACAACACCAGGTAAGACTGCTGGAACCAGCACAGGTGCTGGACCCT